CGTCTGGCGCAGCCCGCGCACGTCAGTCAATGGGACGTTGAAAAACTGTCAGTGCCAGCTACAGCCTGAAATTATTAAATGGCTAGATGGCGACAAAAGGGATCTGTGAACTGAGCTCCGCGGCTTTAGGTGACGTATCAATGGTCATCGGTCGTTTCGTCTTTCAGTTCAGACGATCACTAAATAAGGCCTTACTTTTGGGGCCTGGCACATCATTTTTCGGAGTTCATATGACCTTTCATGGCTTCAGGTGCCTATAAATGATCAAATTATCGCGGTCTAGTGTCTGTATATCTAAATGAGACATGGGTGGTATGACAGGGCTAATCCATTATCATTATCTTCATGAGGCGTCATTATTGCGTTTATCTCGTCCATAAATGAAGAGGTAACACAAGATGTATGAGGCGAAACTAGCCGAGTGCAGCGATTACCCGTGTAGGTGTACCATTATCGAAACTGGACGCCACTCACCTCATGCCCTTTTCAATTTTCTCCTGGAGAATGCTAGCATGTGACATCTGCTTGATTGCGTTGAAGTTGCATCCCTCGGTTTCTGCGTTCAGCATCGCATGCGCCAGCTGGATCTCCTTTTCGTTCATCTTGCTTGCTGCTAGTGCCCCAAACAAGTGGAACAATTATAAGCAACTGTACCTCAACTGTCTGCTGCAACTTGCTCTCACACTTCACTTACACTTCTCACTCGCATCAAATCACAGCGGTCGGATTGTCACAACGCGCACACAGACCGACTGTCTTTGAAATCATGAAACTTGATGCCGGCAAAGCCTAAACCACTCCACGTCAAACGCAAAATCAGACTCGTAAGAACCACGTGTACCAGCCGCGTCGCCTTTTATCACAGAGCACTCACCAGCCCGGAGTTTTGTTGATCGACCCTGTCACCACCGAAGGGGCCGCAGTGGCTGTCGACCTGACCTGACCTGACCTGGTCGGGTTGCCGGTCGGGGGGCGTGGACCAGAGTCGGGCGGTACACCTCTTAGGACCGACCGGCGACGACTGAACGGCCGCTCGACCAGGACTCTCTCGCGCGCTGCTCTCCCTCTCCCTCTCTACGCCGTCGCTCGACCGCCGCTCGAGAAAGGCGGTGGACGGTGGACGTTGGGCGGTGGACGTTAGGCAGTGGACGGTGGACGGTGAATAGTGGACAGAGTAGCCAGTTTGCAAGACGGCAGACCACAGACAATAGATGGTAGACAACACCTAGTAATTGCCAACTGACGGCAGACACTTAAAACAAGACGACTGAAAAGGACGCTTATACAGCCAGCAGACAGCATACCCAAAACGGTAGACGGTAGACAGTGGACGCTAAAGACAACGGCCTGCAGTAGGCGGACGCTCTCTTGGGTTTCTCATGCCACTGCTGACCGTCGTCAGGGCTGAAAAAAGTGCTTCGGTGGTTGTCGTCCGAAAGAAAACGGGATTATTTGGTTGTCAACTCAAGATGTCTAATCCACGCCCCGCTGAGGGTCCTTGATTTCCACAGCTTGCTGGGGGGGGGGGGGTCAACAACTCGCTCTTAAGTCTGATCCTAGGTCAAGTAGTGACAAGCAGTAAACGGCATTCGAAAGAACGTCCAAAATAAGGACGAAAATATGTCATTCATTTTTAGGTCAAGTAAAAGGTCAGAGGTCACCAGATACCATTGAATGATTTTTTTTCGAAACAGCGGCACGCAACCCGGGAACCAATTATAGAGCTACGGCGCCGCGGAAAAGATTCGATAGCATTTTTGACCCTTTCCGCGACTCTTCGACGGTGCCACTGGTCGACTTCCACTCACCTTTGAACAAAACGTGCTCAAGTTAGTACATGCACTTCAGTCGTGCAGAAGCCACGGACCCTGCGTGCGAATACATTCTAATTCCTCTCCTTGATAGCGCAGCGCGCTCAGCTGTCAGGCTCAAATGTCCGGCGATCTTTATTCCTGGACCCGGGAAGTCCCGAGACACCATATCCTCGTGGGCATGACATGGCGTGCCCTCCCCACATCAAAATATTACCGGCACTGGTGCGGTCCCACTGCGGACCTACCCCCAGGCGCCGCCGGGGGTGGGTATGACGTCACAAAAGGAGCCCCGGCGGATTAGAGGGGACGCTAACTGACCGCCGCGCCGGCCAGGGGCGGCGCTGAAGGGTGCGGGCAGGGGCCGGCCGAGTCCTGGATGGTACTAGATTTGCCAGACACGTGTTGCCAGTGGACAACCACGGCGACCACTTGGTATGTCATTGGTCGCCTTTATGAGGGTCGCCGGTCGGCCGTCCGAACGATGGTCGAACGACGCAGTATATACTAAATAGCTCCGGGGAGTTGGAATATGTCTATAACTACCAGGAAATTTTCCACTGGGATGCCACCGCGTAGGGAGGTAACGGACTCGAGAACTGCAAGTCGATTTGATGGGGTAGGGGCAGAGAATGGTTTGCGTAGGCAGCGGCGATTGGGTTGGGTGGGCAGACGCGAATGGATTGCGCGCTACTAACCGCACTAAGCGGAAGGTCTAAGTCTATTCAGGCGGTGCGCGTGGTCGCCATAGGATCGTCTTCTCGGTTGTCGTCGACAACGACAAAACGATACAATTTTTCACCCCTGACCGTCGTCCGTTCGTCCGGGGTGGGACTCGGGAGATTGGGATCATCGGTACCGCCCTCGAACCGGTTACACCCACTACAGGAATGTTAATGTCCCCATCCCGGCCGCACCAGTACCATTGAGTGATGCCAGAACAGTAGCGGAAATGTGTCACTCTACACTTAAACACAACAAGCTTGTTTCACATGATGTGTGGGTGCACCAGGCTGACCGAAGCATACGCCTGGGAATCGGCGTATAACGGTGCCTGGGCTCTGAGCGGCGTGCAGTGGGCGTGGGTCGATAACCAGATACATTGATGGTCCAAAATGGATCTCGGGACCGCCTGCTCCCTCGGGAGATCGTGACTTGCATCAGTTTCGATCGTACCGTGCCGATAGTCATCAGCCGAACACTATCGGTCGAGGGTAAGTGAAAGAATCGGAGCAGCGTGCACACCAGATTCGAGGCGCCTCATGGATAAGACATTTCTAGAAGGTAAACATCCTCTCAGTCCAACTGAACATACTATTGACGCGTCGTTATGTATTCATTGAAAGCTCATGGAGCCCATGCGCGGGCCAATACACCCACCAACGCCCCTCGACCATGTTGCCACCATGGAGGGGGCCGGGGAGGGGAACCTCGTTAGCTCCGGACCTACAGAGCCATCCATTCGGCTGTCACGCCGATGCAGTAACGCAGCGGGCGGCCCAACGATAGACTGCTATGGTGCCCAGGCACGTGCTGGCCTCCTGCATGGTCTCACGAGGAAGTCGAGTGCGTGATGATGGTCAGCGATTGATCGGGCAGTAGAAATGCTAAATAATTTATGAGCAATGACTGCAAATGTTGAGCTTTGAAATGATAATATGAATATAATGCATGTGAATTAATAAGCTTTGAAAAGCCAGGTATAGTATTGCATTAGTAAGGATTGGGGACACCCGATTTACTTATTTGCTTTCTTTAGGTACATTTACCTTCAGAAACCCTTACGATAAAAATTAAAGAAAATAATAAACGATATCAATGGATAATAAGTTTGTGTTACCTTACCTGACCTATATGTTTCGAAACTTACTTTTCAACCGAACGTTTCGATAGATGAAAACTATGCTTCGACTTAGTAGAAAAAAAGGAATAAGTCAAAAATGATTTGATTCCATTAACCTTTTTCTCCGTGGTTCATGCACACAGGTGTCAATCCAAGACAGACAGCTTGGACGTAATAGGTATATATCCTTCAGGAAGCATGTGAAGTGTGTGAAATATGGACTCGCCACCGCTCACTTGCTTATTAGTCTTTCGTCACCTGCATTTCCAATGTCCACAATTGACTCCGCAGCCATATAATTCACTCGTCTACCCATAAACCCAACACACGTCGGTGTTCTGGCGAGCCATTCGTTTTTTTCCTCCTCCGAAAGTGAAGGCAGCGCGCGCCACATTGCCCAATGAAGCGGTGAGTGTGCGTTTGGTCAGTGGTGGCCGGTGGAGCCCGCCGCCCTCCCACCGCCCGCCTGCCGCGGGCCGTCAAACGCAGCCTTCATTTCACCGTCAATCGGTGGCCGTAGCGTCGGCAGATTTACAATGCACTGGCGGCCGCCGTACGGAGAATTTCTCCTCCATTCTGTTCAAATTGCGTTTGTTCGTCACCGTAGGCCCTAGCGCGGCGGTGGCCCGCCCGCAGCGATGGTGCCGGAGAAGTAGCTAGTGATCGGCACTTGGCCCGCGGGTATAATGGGCGAATGAATTTCCTGTGCAGCACGGGGCCTGTCAGTATCTATTGGATCTCGCTAGTTCTTTGATATACCAAAATTATTCACTGGTCGCCACCTTAGAGCCTCGCTTGTTGGGAACAGAGGGAACCAGGTCCAAGGGACTGAGGAGCTTGGCTCCTTTCAGTCCTCACTGGAGGAATAAATGTTTACTCGAGTTTGTAAACGAACTGCCGATGAAAGGTGGTATCGGCTGCTTTGACGTAACTAACAAGGATAATTGGCCACCTGTCGACACGGTAACAGGTGTTTGACGGAAATGTCTTCATATTCACACCGCCAATTATGGAAGTATGTGCGCTCTGATTTGTCATGCCTGACGTTAGCTTGTAGTTTCTTTTGAAAGTATCGATATATTAATTGAATCAAAATACTTGTGAAATAGAAACAAGTGCTGTCGTTACTAATCAAAATGTCATAAAATTTAAGGGACGTGGCGGTCAAGTCATATTGTGGTCCTAACGTTATGTTTTAATCAATCGTGGACGATACAATAACGCAAAATATAGGCCCTATATTCGTATGCGAAAGTATGAAGGATGCAACTCTAGAAAAAAAATCGGCCGATACGACATTCGACTTTGTCAGGATTTCGTCGCAAATGTGACTAAACATTTGGGCAGAAAGTTAAGGTTGTATTACGGAAACAAGTTCGCATCATAATATAAAAATGGCACTTTCCACGACATCTCAACGCAACAAACATGGTGGCAGAAGCAACTCTCTGCGTCCCGTGCACCTCACGGCCTGCACTACACAGCGTGCTCGGCAAAACACCACACCATACCTCCTACTGGCTTCACTGCTTCTGTCGACACAACTGCCAGCGAACACACTTCGCTTCCTACGCGCTCAGCAGACGCCTAACGTGATCCACTTCCGTCATCTAAATCGGCTATTGTGCCAAAGCTGCATCTCGTGCAGCTCAAGAATCTTGAACATGACGATGTGTTCAGTCTTATTAATGAGAGTGCTTCGCTTAAGCTCATGAACATTCATTCACTGCATAGTACATACAACGAAGAATCAATGAAAAACGGACAAAATGCACAGTTTGTTTAATGTGATATATGTTTCGTGTCACATTGCGACACCAAAGTTTAAGTACTGCGTCCTAACAGTCATTTCAAGTCGTCTGAAAGCTCTATGAAAAGTCGCAAGGGTTGTATGAAGCTCGACTTGAAACTTATGTTGCCTTAAATTAATTTTAATTTATATGGCATCCACAAAGCGTGTTAAACATGGGTGTACGACGGTTAGTTGCCTCTGACTTCAACAGCTTCCGACACACACTTACAGATCACTTACATCCATTAATGGTAAGTAAAATCAGGAACCTAATATACGCCTGGTGGAGCCAGTGGAACAATATGAGACAATTGAAGTTTTCATGATTGGCAGATCTCAGACGGCGATTATCCGTTCGCCAAGGCTGAAAAAAATTTCAAATGAAATACGTATATAAACAGTGTTAAATAAAAACACGAGGCGTGATTACACCACAGGCTCGTCGAATAAAGACACTAACCAGATCAACTTCGCAGATCATGTTCGGTGCTTACAGGTATGACCTGAAAAAAAGATGAAAGCAGATTCCATTCATCAGATCTGAAAATGTGACTCCAAGAAGTCACTCACATTTCGATTCACCAGCCATCAACAACTGTTGATGGCTGCCATCAACATCCATCAACAACTGTTGACACCAACACCGTCCATCGACGTTCGCCTCAGCAAGCACCAGTATAACGCGGTTTGACTAGACGTTTCTGGCCACTCAACCACTCAGCACACTGCGTCACCGCTCATTCACGAGATGCTGCAGGCCCAAACTGTCTCACTCGGTGCCAACTTAGTCTTTGGCCGACACTGTGCGCGGGCTCAATGGCAGACGTTCACGATCCCGTGATTTCCCCGCCGAGGAGGAGCGGGTGGTCCTTTGCACTCTGTGACTGGACGCAGGTGAGGACCAGAGCAGTGTGTGGTCTCACGAGACCAGCAGCTCGACGCTCCGGGGAGAGTCACTCGAGTCTATTCACCTGGGAGGCCTGGCTCGAGACTCCATTCGAGGGAGCGTTGAGTTCGAGTCCGCTCTGATAGCTCCTTGCCGCAGGGTGCTTGCCATTAGCCGTAGAGCTGGTCCCACGTCTGGTTTCGTATTATTTCGCACCAGGAAAGAGCTTCTTTTCGTCACCAACAGACGAAACTCTGGTAGACTTCTGCGTTACCAAGCAGAGATGATACCCGGCTCAGGAGTGACGGTGGCGCCGCCGGTGGCGGTCGGACGAACTAGTCATAACGCCTCGTCGCCGTTCTGGAAGCCGTAGTACGTTGAGCTGCCGTTGGTGGCGCTACCGGCGGGACTTCGATGCGCGGCGGGTGAGTAACCGTTTCCTCCACCGTTCTTGTCCTTGCCGCCCCCGTTGGTGGCCGGCGCGGCAGTGCCGGGCCGTCTCCGCCGCTTGAAGAAACCGAGCTGGAATGAGGAAGAAATGTTAGCTTTGAAACAGGGTTCAGCAGTTAAATGTTCCAGCGGTGCTCCATACCTATATCATCAAACACTGGACACTTTGACTTGCAGCCTGGTTTCAACACGGCAGGCTCACAGGGGAGTCCCCTCACGTTTAATTGTTCCTTTTAAACACTCAAAGAACTCCATCTAGCTGCAACATAGGCTCGTTATCCGATCACCAGCGATGTTTACATACCTTGTAGAGGATGAGGACCAGTATGAGCAGGATGAGCACTCCGCCGCAGGAGGCGAGCACGATCACCCACCAGGGTACCGGGGCCGACCTGTCGTCATCCGTCTCCACACGGGTCGTCACCTGTGACAGGACGAGCGGGACAGCGTGTCAGCGCGTTGTGGCCGTGTAAACACGTGGGCAATGGTTGCTATGCTAGTAGCTGAGGTGAAAGCATTCTCCTCGCGACATGATCATCAAAACGAATAACGATTGAAAGAAATACACTCGTGAGCTGAAGTCTCAGGGCTCATCGTCTCCTTACCGCGTGGACGGTGTGGTTCATGTAGGACGGGTCGACTTTGTAGGGCAGTGCCGTCACTCGGGCCACCATCTTGGAGGAGACGGTGAACTCACGGGCCTCGCGGTCCTTCATCTCCTGAAATTAGAAAATCATAATGTGAGAGCAGTTTTTTTTTCTTGCGTATACGTCATACCGTCCAACCGAAGTTCTATTGCAATGAAAACCTTTCGGCTCCCAAACATAGCTTCCATTGTCCATGCCATATACCATAGGCAGTGGACACCATAAACGTTGGCACCAGCCTCAATGAAAAATTCAATGACTTGTTAGGAGCACTCAATCAACTCACCAGTCGTGAACGTAGCAGGGCCAGACTTAAAAGAGCTCGACCTGAACCATCTGCCCAATCAGTCAGCACATTTACTTCTTGATCTAACATGCACTCATCTCACTCACGTCTTTGATGGTGTCCACCCAGACTCTCGTTCTGACTCGGATGATAACATTCTGTTTGTCAGCCAGCGGGCCGATCTCGCAGAATATCTGGGTGCAGACGGTCGGACCGCACCCCAGCGCTGCCTGGAAGTCAGCTTCGGAACTACGCTTTGGGCGCCGCAGAGGTGGCGCCACCATCGCGCCCTCGACTCCGAATTCGCCGCTGAGTAGACTCTCGCTCGGCTCGATCTGATGCAAACACGTCAGTTCGATTTAGGTGGGCGAATAAACTGCATAATTCATAAAGATCGACTTCCGGTCTAGTCGGCAGGATATGATACATAGAGCTGTTTGTTTTGTTAGACTGTCTGAAAAGGCCACCTGGCGATGAATCTCGAATAAAATAATCGTGCTATTGATTTCTTATAAGTCGCTACTTTGATCCTTATTTGCATAAGACCACACATTTTATATGCCGCTAGGTGAAAACACTCTGCAACCGGATTGAAACACCTGAAATGAGTCAGTGATAGTGTCGCGGGGAGGGAAAAGGCTCCCACCTCGAGTTGTAGCGGGTTTATGCCGGTGACGGGCGAACAGGTGCCGGGTCCCTCCACCTGAGGCTGCTCCAGAAGGTACAACAGGTGCTTATCTGTAACAAAACGCATTATATCAGTTTTATCTTACTGTCACGGACCTTATGATCGATCTCTCCCTGCTGCACCCTTTTCCCATTCCGTTCTTCGGAAGCTTTATTTTACACAAGTTTATACTCTCTCAAATGCAGTAAAATCGCCTTCATTGCGCGTGTGCTCCTTTTCTTACCATCCGGATAGGTGTAAGTCGGCCAGATGATGTACGCCTCGGCGGCCACGATGTCTGACGGGCCGTCGTTGCTCAGCTCGTACACGTGGTACACGGCAGGCCCAATGTGCCGCTCGTGAGTCTTCTCGTCCGACTGGAACTCGCCCTCGTTGTAGTGGACCGTCTCCGGTAGTGAGATACTGTGAGAAGAGTAGATGTCAGTAACGGAAGGCATCGGTATGGGAGATGATATAGACACTAGACAGGGTCTAGTCAGATTTGTTTTCGTTTATTGCTTTTAATGTGTCGAATAATGGGCATGTTTTATCTTTCGTAAAAATATTCCACTCTAGTCTTAACGTGATCGAATGCGGAATAGGTGACTGCATTGAGTGCATGTAGATAGCTGACTGTGCATAAAGTAAATGGGCTATTGATGCAATAGCAGTGCAAATCAATTTTACAAAGCGCCATAAAACTAACTACAAAACATCTGGTTTATTTTCAGATTCTGGCTCATCTAGAAATGTTTATCGTTATCTTCTAATGTGAGTACCGACTTCCTGGGTGGTTATTGGCTGGGATAAGATTAGAGACAGTCAACAACTCGATCACCAAATGGTCTCTCTAAGCTTCTTCCGGTCCCTCTGAACACCGCCTGTCTGTGAATTTGAGCTGCTATATTTCCTCTCGTTCCTCACCCGGAGACGACGAGTTCTGTGTGTATCCGGATGGGCAGTGAGATGGACAGTTCGTTATCGCCGACCGTGGTGGTATCCTCTGCGTTCGTGCTGTTCACGGAGAGCGTGAACTGGTAGTGCTGCTGGCCCTCCTCAGACGTGCTCTGGGGCATCAGGTGCACCAGAAAATGAACCTGTGGGGAGAGAGGAGGTGAGAGGGGTGAAATAAAGTGAGAAGGGATAGAGGGAGAAAGGAGCTGATTCGCATAACCCTGGAATACTTGTTCTTACTGAAATTTTATGTTTATTCATCGAATCATTGATCGATCAACTGCATTGCAACGAGACGAGGTGATCTTATTGCGGATGATAGTCGTCAAGAATATCGTCCCGTCTTAGACTAAGGCGAAGGACTATATCCATGAATTGTAACAATTTTTACGTTTTCGTCACTCACCATAGAATTGGCCGGCAGCGGGTTACCCATATCGCAAACCAAAACTTCGTGTTCCAGGTTCTTTGTGGTGCAGAGTAGGGGCAGGTTTGTAGAGTCTTCGGCCTTTTCCGTTACTACGTAATCAACTCCTGAGAAAACAAAGACGTAAAATCAGCGATAAGCGGCTAGCTATGATCTCATCTGATGTGAACGTATGAAAGCGTGATATGCCTTACATTTGAGGCTGCG